CTCTTTCCTTTTGTGTGTTTTACCTAATAGAATTCTTTGTAAAAGAATTCATTAGTTCTGGATTAGCATATAGGTAAAGTTGGAAGAATTTCTACGCTATAAGGGGTAATACTATAATAATTCTATATCGATAAAGAGTAGTTCTCTTTGCGAGAGGAAGAAGCATGCATTCGATAGGAATTAATATTATTTTGAGATTCAATAGGAAAAGTGTTCCCCCTCCCTCCTCTCTTAATGTAATACGCAATTAACCATTGTAGTTTACGGATTTTACAGGTAGGAATCGTACCCTGGTTAATTTTATCTACCAGGGTTAGCAAATTTGTTTGTCGGCTCTTCAAGTTTTAGGATTCAAGCTGAGCGGTTTTCTGTCTTGAACCGATAACCCTCTTTCGGCTATTTATTTTCCTACGTCTTTCGGAACCAACGAAACGTAGTACATCACTAGGAGCATACCTTGTTTTCATTGTCATTTCTGAATGCCTAACAAGTAAAGGAATTTAGCAAGGCAGCTGCTGATTTTATGTGTATCCATCCATATTGATTCTTTTCTGTAAAATTTAGTTTCTAATCAGAGTATTTGTTAGAGAAACGAGTATAATTCGTTTTTTCCCCCTTTTCTGGATGATATAATCTACAGTATCAAGTGAGAGTTTGCGCCTTGTACCACACTTTGTAACTTTGAACAAAAGTAACACTGGGATTACTTACTGGTTTGCTTGTCAATAAATAAAATCCAGTGTGGAATTCGGGCCCGTTTAGTTCGCTGATTCGAGTTGTTAATTTGAGTTGAGATGTGACTTTATGTGAGAGTTTTTTACTGTAGCAAAAAAGTTAGATGTGATTGTTTCTAAGAATTTCTTACTGTAACAAAACTCGAATTCTAAACTTAAATCGGTGAAATGAACTGGGCTTGAACGTATCGATCAGCTCTATTATGAGTGAGGGTGTAAGGGAGTCCAAATGATTGTATTCCATATGTTTGATCGGGGCATAGTGCGACTCTTATTTTGACTAGTTTTGTAACGTGTTCCACACGTAGTGCCGTTTTGGAGACAATTTAAGAGTTTATTATTTATCAAATAATAAAAAATTTATTTATACAACAATTTAAAGATTTTTAAATTTTTTTTTTTTTAAAAAGTGTAAAGATAATAATTGATGAAAAAATTAAGTAGGGATACATTTAAAGAAAATTATTTTGACTAACTAAAAATAAAATAGAATAACGTGTGAAAAAATTATTCTCATAAGAGTAAAGTGAGAAACAATATATTTTTAAAAAACACAATAAAATTAAAATGTAAAAAAATTCACAAAATAATAAAGATAAAAAAGAAAAAAAAAGTAGAAGATTTGTCACGTGATAATTCCATAAAAAAGAGTTTTAGTTCTTGTATGTATAATTAGATTAGATTAGATTAGATTAGATTAGTGACTGTTTCAGCAGGGGAAAAAAAAGGTGATAGGCTTGCGTAACATTGGAAGCAAACGAATTGATTTTTTTTTTCTTTTTTTTTTTTTAACGTGTTACAATAACAGAAACAAAATTGCTAATCGGCTTCGGCTCCGCACTTTTATATCTGCAATATGGCTCTGTGTGATGTGTTAATGCCATTTGTGAGTTCAAAATGATTGTGGGTCTCTCAATGACTTACTAATCAAATAGATATTATAAACAACAAGTTACTTTTTGATAAATTGACAATTCACATGATAACTCGTCGGTTTACGGTAAAATTATTATTTGTGAAAATACAGAAATTAAGGGTGAGTTTGGAATTAATTTTAAAATAATTTTGTTTTAAATAAAAAGTAAAAATGAGATTGTTTTAAGAATCAGTTTTAAACCGATTTTGAAATTGCGTTTAGTTTATTTTTTAAGAGATTATTTTGAGTATAATAAAAAAATAAAATCGTGTTTATTAATTAATATATTATAATATTATTGATAAGTACTAAAAAATGAAAATAGAGAAGTGAAAATAACTTTCAATTGTTTTCTAATTTCTTCATAAAAATCATTCTCATTGTTTTCGTTTTTAAAACATTTGTTAAACAAACGTTGTTTCGTTTTTATTTTTATTTTTTCTTCTTGAAATACGTGAAAATCGTTTTTTAAAAAAAATTACAAACACGAACTAAGTTTTCATGGTAAATGAAGAATTTATCAGATAAATGCAACATTTACCCTATTCATTTTCTCTCTTCTTTCTCTCATTCTCTCTCTCATCACCATCAACAAACTCTCATCCTTTCTCTCTCATCACCATCAACAAACTCTCATCCTTTCTCTTTCATCATTACTGAAATTCTTCTAAACAATAGATTTAGTACGCCATGTATTAAAATTTTAAAATATGCTATAAATTTTAATTAATCTGTTATTTACTAAACAACAAAAATTATTATGCTATTTATTACTTCAAGTTTGAAAAATCTACTATTTACTATGTGGTCGGCTCCCATATCTGCGATGTCGAATAGCAAGCTCTTACAATAATATTACATGAATAAAAGATACACACAAGGACTTATTGGCAACATGTTTTTATTTTTGGGCCTCGGGAGAAAAAGAACCGAATGCTAATGACTTCAGTTACATGGAATTTCAAAAATATTTCCACATGTACTGATGTACAGCAACAGCAGCTACTCAATTTTCACCTTCTTCTTGAAGAATAAACAATTGTGAGTAAAGATCTATATATCCTACCCAATAAAGATCGCCAATACCTATCAAATTCTTTATTACAAATGAACCTTGAAAGAGCAATAATATAAAAATTAGCAAAGTGCTAATGTAACAAGTTTATAACGTCGATTGCAATACTCATTTATTATAATAGATGATCAAATGATCATTTCTCTCTGCCTTTCTTGTATCTCTCCTATTTATTGTTGTACTTTAGCTATTTTGTATTTGTTTTATAACAAATATTATATTTCTATCATACATGTCTCGTTCAGTTTACTAATTCGAGTTTTTAATTTAAATTGAGATGTGATTTTATGTGAAAATTTTTAACTATAACAACATTAAAATTAAAAACTCAAACCGGTAAAATTAATAAAGTCATAATCGTTGCTGCCGCAACCCTCTTTCTTACTAGAGTAAATATCCTTGTCATTATCTTTAATTAATTCGTTAAAAAGCGTAAGATCACATATATTCAACATAATTTGTTTTTATATAATATTCAACATAAAATTAATATCATAAACGATATTATTTTAGCTTTACAGCATTTGATGCTACTTTTATAAGGCCTTCGTAAAAATAATTCTTTTAAAAAATTTTATTAATAAAATAATTTTTTAAAAATTTTTATTTATAAAATAACATTATTTTATAAAAAATAAATAAATATCTTTCTTTATAAAAAATAAAAAAATATTATTTTACTAATTTTATTTCGTTAAAAAGTCATTCTAGCCTATTACGTTTAATAGAAGTTGGTTTTCACTTCTATATAATATCGGCCTTTGTCTCTCTCCGCTATGCAACCATAAGCCCTTAAAGTTCAGTTTGGTCTCAGGAAAAAACTGCAATGAAGAGAGAATCTGAAAACTTCACAGCGAACATATAATCCAGGAGGGCCCACACAGTGGCTCCCACTTCCCGGATGGGAAGCCCCACCAACAAATCTCGACCGTTGGGTGCCGGCGGCCATACTCACTGCACCCGCACGCACCAGATCGGAGCCCTCCTACTCGTCGCCGCCACTTTCTTCCTCTCCAGAATCTTCGACAGCCCATGCGACGGCTTCCCCTCCGCCGATCTCAGCCGTCCATTGCGGAGCGAATTGCCGTCGTTCCACGGCGGAGATTTCTCCTGGCCCCTGCGTGGGTACGGTCCCCACCTGGACCTCAAGATCTACGTCTACGATGAGAACGAGATCGAAGGGCTCAAGGCCTTGATGTACGGCCGTGACGGCAAAATCTCCGCCGTCAAGTGCATGAAAGGCCAGTGGGGCACTCAGGTAATATTTCGGTTCAGTGTTTGTTTGCTGAGAAAATGCAAGAATGAGTGAGTTCAAATCTTGGATAGCTCGTTTTAGTAGAAATTGAAGCTTTAACTTTATTCTCATTCTAATTTTATTTTTGAAGGCTTAGTTTGTTCTGAAATTTTGGGTTGATTTGCGGAGTTTGTGGCGTGTTCGTTATTTTTCATTCCCGTTTTTTGAAGGAGAAATCAAATGCTCTGCTTGGCTTTAAGAAATTGTGCGAAAGGAACAAGGAAGATAGAGTTAGATAGCTCATTTAGTAGAAATTGAAGCATTGATTTTATTCATATTATTCACTTTTTTATTTCTTTTCAAGGTTTAGTTTGTTCTGAAATTTTGTGTTGATTGTTGGATTTTGTGGTGAATTGGTGAGGATTTTTGGCTTTTGAGAAAATGTGGGAAAAGAACAAGCAAGAGATTGTTCAAATCTTGTATAGCTCTTTCTATTAGGAATTGAAGCATTGCCTTTATTCATATTCTTATTGGAGTTTGAAGGTTTATGTTACTGCGTTCCTCATCCGAGTTGTATTTGGGGCTAGAATTTTGAATTTTTGATGAATTAGCGAGCAGGAATTTTCTTCGTTCTTTTCCATTTTGGAATGCTGAAGTTATTGATTGATTGATTGATGAGAAAATGCGCGGAAAGAACAAGGAAGATAGATTTGAATCTTGTATGGCTCATTTTAGTAGGAACTTCAGCATTCTTTTTCTATTTTCTTTTTGAACATCTAATTTATTGCTTTTCTATGTTTTTACTTTTTACGGTTGATTAGTAGGCACAATATGGAGGTTAACTTAAAGTATTGGAGAATTCACTGCAATTAAAAAAAAAAAATGACATGAATTGAAATTTGAAATATTTTGATTATTTACTTGGCAGATCAACATATTTGGCTATGATTTCTAAACACCAAAGTGAGCCTTTGTTCATTTCTCTACATATTGTAGGTTAAAATACACAAGTTGCTTTTAATATCGAGATTCCAGACAAGGAAGAAGGAGGAAGCTGACCTATTCTTTGTGCCGTCCTATATCAAATGTGTTCGCATGTTGGGTGGCCTTGATGATAAAGAGATTACAGATACCTATGTGAAGGTCAGTTCATTTCGTTGCTTGAAACCTCATGTTGTAGCATTTTGAGGCGATTTTGGTTATTCACAATTTCCTTTTGTGCAGCTGTGTTTCTTATTAATTGCACAAGATAGACTAAATCTTCGTTGCCATTTCTTTTGCAGGTGTTGAGTCAAATGCCTTACTTCAGGCGATCTGGTGGCCGTGACCATATATTTGTTTTTCCGAGGTATAAACACTTTAGTCTGTCACTTATTTCAATTTGTTTTCTTTATGCCTAGAGGACAAGGATTATATCGTGTAATCAGAGTTTTGACTTATTTGCAGTGGTATTGGAGCTCACATATTTAAATCCTGGGAGATATATATAAATCGTTCCATATTTCTTACTCCTGAGGTACTGTGCTATCAAAAATCATTAGCTTGCTACATTTATGATATATATAGAATAGTGTAAGTAATTGGCTAGAAGTCCAGAACTAGATGTACCGTCCTCAGGACTAAACTCGTCGGCGGCGTTTGGTATGAGGTAATATTTGTATAGGAAGTGGAATCTTCTCATATTTCCATGGGGCTTTTAGAATGTAGTAATTAGTAGGAATCATATTAATGGGAAAGTGGTAGAGGGTAATATGATTCCCAAGAAACGTATATTATCACGTTTGGTTGTACATAGGAATCTCTTCTCAGATTCCACGGTGGAGTGGTGCTTGAAATGGAGCACTGCCTATGTCGGCGAGAGCCTACAGCCGAGCACAGTGACAGATCTGCAAGGTCGTGGCTGAGCATGTCCTTGTGGTGGTGGTGGTTGGGAATTGATGGTGCTGTGTTGGTGAGATGACCATGGTCATGAGATTTTCAGGCATTTGAATAACACCTTGTTACATGTTATTCAAATTATCTCAAAATGGGGTAAAATGAACACATGGAATTCACTTTTATAGGATTGTAAAAATCATAGTTCTTGTATCAAACATGGGAATGTGAGAAGGTTCCCATTCTCATCCAAAGGTTACCCCCATACCAAATGCATGCCATGTTTGGTACAAGAAATAAAATTTTTATATTCCCAAGAAAGTCAAACCCATGGATTCACTTATTTGCATATCACCCAATAAGGTGTTATTCAAATTCCTGAGAATCTTAAGACAAGGGACCCTCACCAACACACCAATCATCAAAGCCCCACCACCACCACCGACCATGCTCTGCCGAGCCACGATCTAGGCCCCCACCATCTCATGTCGGTCCTCCATTTCAAGCACCCCTCCGTCCCTCGCTGCCCCTATGTTTCAGACACCCCTTGCGTTGCAGGCCTCCCTCCATCTCAGGCACCCCATAACATCTAGTTGATCTAGAGCCTCGCGATGTATCTTATTTTAACTCTGCCAATGAACATACATACATGCACTGGAGTGGAGGGTATAAAAAAATGTGTAAAATTTACATGAAAACCGGGCGAGAGAGGATTTATTTAGATATGAACTCCAATTTAACAAATTTAGAAGATTGAGCTTGGACTAAATTAAGCATTTTTTTCCCTCTTTGGGGTGCACTCAGATTTTTAAAACCTTTTCCAGTTTGACCCGTTCTAGACCATTTTATTCTTGTTTGTTATGGTGTATCGCTGCCTTTCAATTTTGCTGAATGCGTCAATGAAGCACCCGGTATAATTAGATAGGTCATCAAGTTATTCTCAAAGGCACAACAAAGTTTAAAATGTCTTAGAATGGGGAAAAGTTTTGAAGACAGGCCTAATTTTCATTTTGCTTTACATTTTGGTTTATTCAAAGTCTTTTATCTTGGTTTATTTTAACGGAATCAGTTCAGGTTAATATGTTAATGAAGAAATACGAATTAGATTTGTGTAATTTCTGTATTTTGTTATGTATAAACGTAGAAGCATTCAGTTGCAGCCTGGCTGTAAGACATCTTGTTGCACTCAAAACCCAAGTAATCAGGTCAATGTGGCTTAAGCCTGAAAAAAAAAAAATATAAAGAACATTGAGGCAAAACCCATGGCGCATCCCAATTGAAAATAATTAATCTTGTACTTGATAATCCATCGGCTAGGATCACTTTATGAGTCGAGTCAAAAACAAGTTAATTTCAAAAGTGTTACCTAGTATGATGGGGCTACTTGTTTAGTTGCTAGATATAAAAATAGTCTGTCAGTCTATTGTTATTTTTTTTTTCCCCATCCGTGTCTCATAAGATTTTTCCATTCTCTCTGTTGGATTCATGTTGAACCAGTTTGGTAGGCATTCGGTGGGATCATCTGGTTAAATGGATTTTTTAACTGGACAGAAACCTAAGTTGACTGTAAGAGTTCCTATTTTTATTTCGTTGTTTTGTTTGTTTGTTTGTTCCCCCTTTCCGTTGGCTTATAAATCCATCTAGTGGTTATGTGAAGTGAAATTGTAATATCTTGTTAATAAAGATTTTAGTTTTTCACATAATAGATTGTCTATTATTGTGATAGTGCAGGGGGACCGGACTGATAAGAAAGATACAAGTGCCTTTAATACTTGGAAAGATATTATCATTCCTGGCAATGTTGATGATTCAATGACTACAAATGGTGAAAGGGCTGTCCAACCTTTACCTCTATCAAAACGGAAGCTTCTCGCAAATTATTTAGGTCGTGCGCAAGGAAAGGTTGGCCGTTTGAAGTTGATAGAGCTTGCAAAGCAATTTCCACATAAGGTATATATATTCCTGCGCAACTTCTTAGTTGTCTGAGTGAAGTTTTATTGTTTTGGGGATTAACTTCTTGTTGCCACTCTTTGGAATTTGAATCTCTTGGCTCTTAGATTGTAATTTTCAATTCGTTATTATGTTGTTATGGAAAACGAGTTAAACTAGCGATTGAAATTGTCAATTATTGGATGGGTTTAGGCAGCCTATTTCCTCTTTAGTTTCGTCTATTTGCTTTGTTTGCTAGATACTGTTTAACGTTGGACTCATTTGGCTGATTAGCATGTCTTTGGAGTTTTATTTCTTGATGGGAATTATCTCATTCACTTATCCAATTGCAACTTCGGGGGGGGGGGGGGGGAGACGGGTTTT